AATTATGGAGAGTGTTCGTGGAAAATTCAGAATTTTGGGTACTTTCTGAATGGAATATACTCGAAAGCTTTGGTTTCTGAGTAGATCTGACACAGACCTGTCCACAGTTAGAGAAAATTAGGGTACGACCTCGATTCATTGGTGTATTTTACTCATTATTTCAATTTTAAATCTAATTATGGAGTTTTCATGGAAAATTCAGAACTTTGGGTACTTTCTAAATAGAATATATTCGAAAGCTTTGGTTTCTGAGTTGATCTGACATAGATCTGTCCACATTTAGAGAAAATTGGGGTACGACCTCGATTCATTGGCATATTTTATTTATTATTTCAAATTCAAATTTAATACAATACTCGAAACTTGTTTATGATACAAACGAACGTGGTGCTAGGAAGAATTGCAAAAATACGAAAGTACAAGGATGCCAGGACGCAACGATCAACTCAAAACCCCACACAATAAACCATTCACTATCGCAACAAACTTCTGTCGATCTCCATCAACAACATTTCAAATCATTACTCGCGGATAGCGTGGGCAATCGCGTGGACTCGCGCAACAAATATTCTACTCTCCGTGGGTCGACAATAGAAGCCATTAATCCGCCTATTAAATTCTAAATGTCGCGAGTATTTTCGTCTTCGTCATTCAAGCCCTGGCAACTGTCTCCTCGAAAGCAAGCCAAAGTTAGAAGAAACGGGAATCTGCCACGAAATTCCCATTTTTGTGCGTAGTTACTCCTTTCAAGTATAATAGTCGATCAGGAAGGAGTAATATTCACTTTGAATTCGAATGAACTGAGTAATATACATATTTGTTGAATCATGTTGAAAATCTTTACCACGAGTCTCACTCGTTGTTGTAGAGCAAGGGGTTGATTAATAGAAAAAAAGAAAACTAAACTAATTAGATCATTTGTCTACGAATTAGTCTTTCAAATTTGAACATTTCATCTCGCTAGAATGCCGACATCGGACAAATTGCAAAGTGCATTGGAGATGTTAACCCTTTGCGAAGATTCTTTGAAATATACAAGGGCGAAGGGTTAAAGAAACTACCCTAAAATTACTCGATTCCTCACACATCCAAATTTAGTACTGCCGAGGAAAATAAAAGATCTAGGAGATGTATTTCTAATTTTCGCTATATATATTATAATCAACCCCTTAACTTGTACGCTCGAGTTAATTCGAGCGCGCTAAACGGGCCAAACTGTGAAAATAACAATGTGAAAGCAAAGAAAATTCGTTTTATTGATATTTCTCATTTACATGGGATTGTAAGCTATAACACTAATATATTCAAGAATAAAATACAGCCTTTCTCCATGGAAGAAAAGCACAGTATATCAAAATTGATTTTTTAAGAAAAACTGTGCGTTAAGGGGTTAATTAATAGAAAAAAAGGAAACTACTTGTTGATCATCGGCTAAGTGTTCAGCGTGACCCATAGAAAACGGACCCAAGTCGAGGTTCGACTTTTCCCCGCGCCTAAACTCGATAGTTGGCCGGGCGTCAAGTAACCGAACGCGTCGAAATCCGTGATTCTCGTTTAAATATATTCCGACTGGCGTCGAGCCGCGAAACCAGGTTTTCCCTTTACTTCGTCGCTTGTCCGCTCGTTTGCCCCTCGATCAGAAGTCTCCGTCCGTCTCTCCTCCTCTACCGTAACCTAGTAGCACTTTGGTCAACGGCCAGCCAAGAGAGCGCACGGTTTTGGTAAAAGGGGTTGAAGCGGCGGCGATCGATTAGCAGCGCCAGGGTGATCGGAAGTTTATTACCGCGACGCGTTCCTTTCTTCCGTCGACCTCGAACGGCGGACAATGGCCCGAGGAATGATTCCTCGCCTGGCCGGCCGCCAGACGTCGCGCTGCGCTTTTGGCCTCTTCCACGCCGCGAAACTTTCGCCAAATTCGTAACGCCGGTGGAGATTTAGACTCTTATCGGGTGGTCGACGTCGAGGGACTAACCGTAACGGGTACGTTTTGGAAGAGTGTCAGAGGAAACTGCGTTGGAAAGATCAGGGATTAGGCAGACCGTCCTCGATTCGAGGACGACGCCGATTTGCGACGCAGAAGCATCGTTTTCCTTGTAGCTCTCGGAAGTTCTGATGAAATCGAGGATTTGCTGACAGTTGCGGAATCATTCGTCCGCGACTTAGTTTTTTAAATACGAAACTTTCATCTCGAAATGTAGACATTCGTCCGCAAAGGGTTGAAAGATAGGGAGCCGCGGAACAAATTTTTCTTAGGCGTAGTAGTATAAAGGTTGGAAACTGTAGAAATAGAGGGATGATTTTTAATTAGGTCTCTATATCTAATATTTCAGTGGCTCGGAGAACTATGTTGCAGAATCGCTTTGTAAAATCTTTGTAAAATCTTCTTATTACTTCATCGAAGAACTTCATCGAGAAAATCCTTCGATTACTCAAAAATCTTGGCAAGGATACGCATAGAAACCCGATGGGAAATTGCACGTTGGAAAACAGGGATGATTTAATGAGGTGTCTATGTCTAAATTTTCAGTAGCTCAGAGAACTATGTTGCAGAATCACTTCGTAAAATATCTTCTCGTCTCTTCATCGAGGATCTTCATCGAGAAAATCCTTCGATTACCCAAAAATCCAAAGATACGCATAGAGACGCGATGGGAAATTGCACCTCGGTAAACAGGGATGATTCAGCCACGTCCCTGCGCGTGTATGGTTTTCGTAGGTTCGAGAATCGTGCTGGGGAAACACAGAAACGTCCGAGAAAAAACACTCCCGCGGCTGGAAAGCCCTTGTGACGGCAGGGGCTACCCTTCGCCGACGTGTAATTCTTTAAGCGAGTGGCTTACCCCTTACGAAAATGCACCGGGAGGAACGGCCGGGAAGGGGTTTCACTTAGCCCCCGGTAGAGTCGATCGATACGAGCGGTCTGGGGACGATAAAGCACGCGCCGCCCCGCGTTCCGCACGTCCGGTTTCTGTTTCCCTCTTCGGTTTCAAGGATTGATTCCTTCTTTTCCGTTTTGCTTCGAGTTTCCTGCTGCTTAACCATCGAATACTCGTATCCTTAACACGTTGTAGGCATGTCCGCTGAATTGTAGATACTAGAAACGAGCGTTGATGATTCTATCGATGCTTTTTGAAACGATCGAACCGATATTTGTAACTTACGAAGAAGAATAAGGAATTCGATTTTGTAATTTTACTTTGGATTTCTGGTATACATATCTAAAATTTTATATTAATGTGGGACTAGAAATTAAACGATAGTTTAACCCTTCGCGGACGAACGTCGGCATTTTTCATCAAATTTCCATGTTTGGAATACCAAATTACAAACAAATGATTCAGCTATTCGAACAGTAAGAAACCAGTACAGTTTCATTATTCTCTACGATTTAGGCATTGAACGTTTAACCCTTTGCACTCGAAAGTTTTTGCCTGGTAATATTCAACATTTTCCAACGAGATACAGTCCACCTCGTTTGAAACTAATTCAACGATAACTCACAGATAAATTAAGCAACAAAGATATTTTCTCAATATTTCACATTGCAATAGAAAGTTTCATTTAAAATACTAAATATTCCATAATTTTGCAGCGTCAAATCGAATGGCGACTCAGAATCACCATTCGAGTGCAAAGGGTTAACTATGTTCTCTTCGGTTTTTTCCAAGGAAACACAAAGGCAAGAGACATCCCCGTAGATTCGCTGTTACCAATCGTGAAATGAAAATCAATTACCGGTTCGCAGCGAGCGATACTCGCTGACACAGTGACACGATTGGCCACCCCTGAAAGGGTGACGTCGCCAGTCCCCTGCGCCCCATGGGGTCTGTCCTTTTTTGTGCCCCTCTGTGTATCCCGACCAGGACCGTTCACCCTCCTGCGAGCCCCTCTCTTGTCTACGTGTCGCTAGGCCGTTTTCACCCTCCTTTCTATTCTGAATCGCTCAGAGAACGCCCGTACCCCCGGCACCCCCGGGACAGAGCGGACCGGGGCGACAACTGTTAAGTTGGTCACCCTTCGCGACGAACAAAAAAATAATATCGCGCTCGAACGGAGCTGCGACGCATTTTCCCAGCGGCGTGTCCTGGCGTGCACCGTTTCGAAACTGGTTCGTTCGGATAGTCGAGGAGCAGGGTGCCAGGGAATCGCTGGGATTCGTTCGATTCGAGTTTAATCGTATCAATGTAGCATTCGATTGAGCCAATAGGATACAGTCTTTACACTCGGAGACTTTTCACTGGAAACTTTCGACATTTTCTGATGAGGTATAGACACTTTGAAACGAACTAATTAAACATACGTGACTATTATATATAACGCTTTGTAATTTTGTTAAATCAAATGGTGATAGTCTCTTGAGTGCAAAGGGTTAATTACATGGAAAGAAGTGGGCGATTTTGTTGATTATATTCCTAGAATTGTCTAATTATTAACCAGTAAACTGTTACGAACCTTATATGGCTTACAAGTCCCATACCGCTAATATGGCGGCGTTGCTCCGTTAACCCGTTGACCTACAATATCGTGGCAGACTCGTGACGAAAGTTTCCAACAGAATTCGATAAATCTAAGTGTTACATCCTTTCGTTAAATATAAACCCTTTGCACTCGAGAGGTGACTCTCAACCACTCGATTTGACACAGTGAAACTATAGAATGTGATATTTAATGTTAAACTTTGTATAATGCATTGGAATAACAGCTTTGTTCCTCAATGTACTGTTGCTTCCTCTTCGAATTAGTCTCAAAGAACATCGCCCCGTAAAGAAATGTTAAATATTTCCAGTAAGAAACGAGTGCAAAGGGTTAAATCTTCTCCACCATCGTCAACCTAATAAACGTAGACATAGAACAAGCTTGAAAATTCTGTCTTAATATATTGTCAAACTTGCTAACTTGACCGATAGCGATCTCCCAATTGCAAAGTGTTAAACCCGCCGTATTCCCTCCGCAATGAAGCACACCAGACCAATGTTCTAACCAAGCTAACAACCTTTCAGGGTGGCGAGGAAGCAGAGAACGGTTCGGCAACGGCCGGCAGCCCGGTGGAGGAGAAGTCAGCAGTAAGTAGTCCGTCCGCGGAGGCGGAGACCGCGCCGTCGTCAGCGCCCTCTTCGGAGGCGAAGGAGGACGCGTCGCCGTCACCGACAGCAGCAGCATCAGCAGCAGCAGCAGCAGCAGCGGCGGCGGCGGCGGGAACCGTCGCCGGTAGCCCGGCCGACGAAAAGCAAGAGGAACCCACTCCCTCTGCCCCCACTCCCGTCCCTGTCGAGGAAAAGAAAGAGGAGGTCGAAAATGTCGAGGCCGAGAAAAAAGTAGTCGAGGTCAGTCCAGCCGGTGGTCAGTTCGTAACGGGCCCGGTAGAAGTGTCCGTTTTCCGAGTCCAGACAGTCGCTACTACGCCGTCTATCATTGAGAGGAAAACCAGTGAGGATATTCCTTCCCTGACCCCGTCCAGTCCGCCGCCGACGCCCATTGACCCGTCACCGTTGCAGCAGGCTCAGCAGGCCGCGGCGACCGCGACCGCACTCGCGGAAGCCCTCAAGTTGCCTGCCGAGGCTGCTGCCGCCGCCTCTGTCGCCGACGACGACGCCGGCGACAGCGCCCCCGTTTCACCGACAACCACCGCCACCCTGTCCAATGCCGTCTCCTCAACCTCATGTCCGGAGCGTGACGAACCACCACCACCACCACCATCACCACCACCACCCCAGACACCGTCCGCGGATTCACTCGATGCAACCAAACCCCAGAGATCAAGCACCCAGGTTTCATCCCCAGACGATACTAGCCAGACTACACAGAAATTAGAGGCTCTGCCGGTGGTAGATCATGTCGCGGGTAACAAGGAGGAGGATGTTGTTAAGGGGAATGTGGAGGAGGAGGTTTGTAAGGTTGAAGATCGGAAGGTTTCGGAGGAAGTAGCTAGGCCCGTTGATGAGATTGTAGAGGAGGTTTGTAAGATCGACGATCGG